ATTGCCACTGTTAGAATTGTCACATGTGTTTAGATAAGGGCACGTTCTTGCCACGAGATTCGTAAGAGCGATTAATTATCGTTGATATGGATATTTGCGGGCCGATATGGTATATCAAAGAGAAAAAAGTCATACCGAATCAGTATCGGTGCAAAAAAATTAGGATTGTCTTGTTTTTCCAACATTTCATTAAGTACATAATATTTTCATTAAATTCAAAATGTTAGTAAATATAAAAGAATGTTGTAATGATATCGCTAATCATGTTATAAGATATTAAACAGCGTATATTTTATAAGTTTATTAATAAAAAAATTTATTTATATTTTATATAATAAAATTTATTATAAAAATTTATAATAGAAACAATAATAAATGATTTATTATAAAACTTTGTAAACAAATATAAAGAAACAAAAACAAAAAAAAAATAGATATTTTAGGATGCATCATCTGGACTCGATTCGCGGATTAATCGACGAGTTGGTAAACACACCTGGTGTAGCACGTACGTGTGTACTCCGTTGCTATCGAGGTAAATTTTGTGATATTGGAAACACTTTTCGTTTGATAATCACTTAATCACACTGTGACGAGTGTGCGAATCGCGGAAAAAGTGGGAGAACGTAAACGGCAAATAGATATCGAATCGTGATGTAGCATTTATCCGAATGACACTTTTATAAATAACATATGTAATTTTCAAACGATGTTACATACAGAAATCTGCAATTTTGTGACCTGCAATCACGATTCACTAATTTCATTGCGCAAAAGAATCAATGAAAGATTCTTGAGATATTTCAGAGGAAATCAAATATTGTATAACCAAAGAATAAGAGTAAAAAAATGTGTTACAAAATAATTTTTTTTTAATTTGTGTGGGATAATAAAATAATGACTTATTAAAAAATACAATGGGATAGGCAGTGCTAATAATATTTTAGACATTTAAGTGTAATAGATATAAAACACGAAAAAATCATGCTTTAACTAAATATATATATTTTGTAAATTTTTTAAAATAAAAATTACGCAATCTTTTCCATATTTGTACGATGATAATGTATCGAGATCATAAAATAGGATGAGATGATTTGGTGATGATAAATCGATCGCAAATCTTATCGATAACGCTATCATGTACCGGAGGTGTATTTATAAATATTTTGCTAGAAATTCATGTCAGTACAACTACGTCTTATATTGTATAGCAAAAAATTGTGATATAAAAGACACAGACGTTAATTATAAAATCAATGAAAAATGATTTAAAAAATTAATTTATAATTTTTGTAAATTATTTATAAATTCATAAAGTTGTACATCGCAATAACTTGCAAACTTTTTGTGTCTTTCGCTAGGATTATTGATTAAATGTACATACATAATTGCGATGCGTGATTGCGAGATAAATAAATGTGGAACAATTTGTTTAAGTGTCAAGTATTAAATTTCGTAATTTCGCGTTCTCAAGAGAAAAAGAATACTTACTAAATGCCGCTGTATTGGTATGCATGTACTTAAGTATGTACATATAAAAGTGTGTTGACGATTACAGGTCCGGGTGGGAAGGACGTTTCGTCTTTGGAACACGTGTGTTCTTATCAACAGTCATTTTTCTCGTGAGTTACGATAACGGTTTTGCGAAGCGTAATTTCTGTCCGACGGCAGTCTCACGGTCTTCAACGATTTGCCTTCGATATTTTTACAAGTCTCGCAAAACCTGTAATACACACATACAAATTTAAGATGTGCAATCTCTATCAATTAATTTGCAGTCTTTTATTTATATATAATCTGCAAAGTGAAAATTAAGATTTAACTAGAATTATCTGGCAACCAAATTTGATAATAAATTAAATTTAGATAAATATTTGTATTACGTTGCTATTGTATTTAACTTTATATTTTAAAATTACAATTGTATTGTTTCTCATTTCTATTGATTTAAAATAATAATTAGACTAAGTAAGAAATTGTAACTCTAATTAACTTTAAATAATTTGATGTAATGAAATAATGCGATAAAACAATTTTATCTAAAATTTATTGATATAAATAAAATAAATGTCAAATGAATTAAATTAGTTATAATCGATATAATATTATTTTCTCAAAAATTGTCTAAGAGATATCATTAAAGATCTTTATTAAAGATCTTATATTATCGTTTATAAGAGCATGTATTAATTATGTGACTTGTGAGTATATGTATTTGCAATATGTAAGTTCAAGTCGGGTAAGTTTGCCAAGTCTAAACAATCGAGAAGATTACCTCTGTGGAATCGGCGCCATTCGCGCAAATACTAATCGTGACATCTTGTGTATCGATTTCGAACTTGATAGAATATTTAAAAGGCGCCACAACGTGGGTACTTTAAATTATATAATAATAAGTTACTACAATTTCACGTAAAATTTATTAATTTACTGTTTTACTAATTTACGTACAAAGACTATTATGTTTAAAACTATAACACTGTTTTAAATTATTAGGAGTGTGATTTAGTTTTGAGGGTTTTTCAAAGATATTCCAATCGCGGCTATTATTTCTTAATGTTTTAATATTACTCCATGATATTTAGTCGTATGCTAACAATAGACGCAGCAAACATCGTGTTTATACCATTTAAAAGATGAAGCTAAAAGAACATTTTCGACATGCGTTGTTTTTATTTTTTAATCAGAAGAAAACGGCGGCTGAAGGTCATAGAATTTTAATAGAAACTTACAGTGATGTTGCTCCAACAATTAATAAGACATGTGAATATTGGTTCAGGCGATTTAAAAGTGGTGATTTCAATGTTAATAATAAAGATCGCTCGGGACAACCAAAAAAGCTGGAAAATTCAGATTTGTAAGCATTATTGGGAGAAAATCCAGCACAATTCACTTCAGAACTTGCCAGACAATTGAATGTTGATCGTACAATAGTTATCTAAATGTTTACATGATATGGGAAAGATTTACAAAGAAGGAAAATGGATTTCACATTAATTATCTCTTGTCAAAAAGATGGGGAAAAGTTGCAGAGAATGAAGAAAAATATTTTGATTAAGGTATTCGTTCATTATCTTGTTTAAATAAATCAGTGTTCGTGGAGAAAAAAATCCTCAAAACTAAATCACATCTCTAATACTTAAAAATTTTGTATCATCAAAATGTAACGTATTATATATGTATTACCCCTTGAAAATAAAAATCGGAGCGTAAATCGGATGTAATAGGAGAATAATAGAAGCATAACTTCTAGAAGGCGAAAATTGGAACAATGAAATGTAAAAGCACTTACACTTCTGTTACTCTCCCATTACATTCGACTTACGTTCTGATTTTTATTTTCATCAGGGCCGTTTATATTGCTAATTTCTATCTTTTTCAAATTTCTACGTAAATTAATTTTGTCTCGGCACTATTTAATCAAAATTTTTCATTTTAAAATGAGTTTATACGATAAATCACCGTTGTGTGCTCGATTACATAATATTTTCTTACTCATGCTCGATTATTAAAAATAACAAATGCACGATGCAATCTGTAATCTTCGGTGATTCGCGCCATGTGTCAAAATTTCTTTACTCCTTTCACCTCGTTTCGCGTGACTATAGGGTATCTGTCGAAATTCTGTTTGCAATGTTGAATTTCGTGACTGCAATATGATTCCGATTGCGAAGCCTGAGCTCAAGATACTAGATAAAAATAAATTACACATATCGCGAAGGCCAGGATGCATCACGTGGCTGTTGCTCGGTCGTAAGAAATGATTTATTGAATTATTATGTCTCTCTCTCTTCAAGTTTAGCGTATAAAATATTCTTCATTTTCAGTCAACAAATCGATTAAATATATACATAGTGCAATTTCTCGACATTTATAATACGTTAAAATCTAGTATTTATGTGGTTGCAATCTAAATCATAATTTTATTTAATATCTTCTGTATTTTAATCGGCATTCTTAAAACCACTGAAAGAAAATGTATATGCGCGTCTATTTTCTATATTTTTATTCTTAATATCTATTACACACTAAACGAATGTTTTCCAGTGTCTGCGGTAATCTTTATTGGAATATTTAGCCGCTTGATAAACAATGTGTACCTGCTAATTATTTTGCTTCTGAGTGAGATCATGTTCGGATTGGATAGTTTTGGAGAATGGGAGGACCTGATTTTGTACAAGGATGAAAACAAAGCCGTTGTCGAGAAATCCGTTTGGAGCGATAAACTGTGCTTGGGTAGCTCGGGTCAACTCTCCTTCATGAAACTTACCGACATCCGGTACATTGGGGTCTCTACCAAGATGGGTCTCTTTATTCTGCACAGGAACGGGAAGATGATCACTCTCAGTATGAAAGGCCTAACAAGAAAGGAGATACAAGATTTGAGAAAAGAAATCAATCATTTTTTAAACATGAGCCGGCTCAAATATCTCGATCATTCTCTAGTCGATCCTTCGACCCGATTATTACTTCCTTCTGGTTCCGAGGAATACTTGCAAAACTTACCAAGAACATGTCTACCTGTGTCCAACGAGTTTACTGTCTCGGACAATGTTTTAGGAAGTACATTGGGCAGAACGTGTTACCAAGTGCAGCAGAATTTGAGCTATCCAAGTTTAATGCGTGGAACGCAACTTAACAGTTATCAATTGGCAAACTTGAGAAAAAGTTGTTATACGGGAAACTCGACGCGTTTCAATTACGTCAAGTGTATTAGAAACATTTGCACCATTCCTTCACCTCGCAATTTGTACAAGTTCCATAAAGAATGTAATTAATCAAGTATCACTCGTTTATGTTGCACATGTTCTTGAGAGATTACTCACATTGTATCTCATTCGCGATTTAAGACAAATTTGTGTGTAACAAAGCGAGATTTTATTTATTTTCTGCTGCAATAAATAATTTATTATTAAATAACAATTTGTTTAAAAGCATCGCAGAGAATACTTTAAAACTTATATAAATTCATCACTAGTTATTAATTAGATAACATATCATATTACTATAATAGTTTTACAATGATCATATGTATGTGATCTCTATCGGTTTTTATAACAATTAAATAAATCCTTTTACGTAATATGTGATTTAACAAGTTGTTTACAAGCACGTTCAATATCTGGATATTGATATTGAAATCCTAACTCTGTAACATACTTTGGTACAACTTTTTGTCCCTCCAACATTATCTGAAACGAAAATACCAAGTATTCTATTAACATCAAATTATTACATTTAGTATTAAGCTTGTTAAATATACCTTTGCTCGTTCTTTATTGAATAACATTTTTAAGAAAAAATCTGGAACAGGTATAATCGCGAATCTTTTTAGTGCCGCTGCAAACGCTTGTGTAAACTCCTTGTTTGTTACAAGCTATTAACAGAATGATATATGTACAATTAATTATATTTCAATTAAAGATCAATGTAAAACCTCTTTCATTCATGAAATGTTTATATTACCTGAGGTGCTACTCCATTTAATATACCATGTACATTGTTATTTGTAAGAGCAAATATAAACATGCAAACTAAGTCAGTAATATGTATCCAGGGCATGTATTGATTTCCACTTCCTAGTGGTCCACCGAGTCCCGCCAAGAATGGAAAATAGATGTTCTTGATCATGCCACCCTCTCTTCCTAACACAACTCCAGATCTTATCGTTACTTGTCTAATATTGCTATCTTCTGGTAACTTTGCTGCTTCTTCCCAATCGTGACAAAGTCCTGACAAAATTGAAAAATTAATAATATAAATATATAAAACAATAAAGGATATAAATATATAAATATTATATTACATATAAAAAATAAGATTCTACTTGATAGAAAGTCATATGATTCGCATTTGCTTTCTTCTGTGTATACAGTATCATTGGGTTTGTAATATGCTACTCCTGATATAGTTATGAAAACCGTAGCCTTGGTATTCTGTATAGAGTTTGCCAGAGCCTTCGTCGTTTTCACCCTGCTGTTCCTAACATTCTGCTTGAATCCAGGTGACCATCTTTGCATAGGATCCAGTACATTCTGTCCGGCAAGATTGATGACAGCTGATGTGTTCTCCGGTAGACCATAGTGCTCTAAATCATGCTATAGATACGACTATCATTGGATTGATTCTTACCAACAAGTAAATTCGTTCTTATGCAAATTCTAAAATGCAAATCCATTCTCATGTACCCATGATATTCTGTTTGGTCCCGGCATCCGAGAAATACATGTACAGGAGACACCCGCGAGATTCAGTGATTTTATTAGCTGTGTTCCTATGAAGCCAGTACCACCACCTGAAAATATTATATGATCTTACTCCTATTGACATAACATGATTAATCTTTTGCAATTTATGAAATTGTTGATCAGTTTGTATATAAATATCCTTACCTATCACTATATGCTTAAAACCGTTTAGTTGAGCCATGTTTAGAAACTTAATACACTTTTATGTTAAAAATAAATTTGTAATGTGTGTATGTGTGTGATACACTTTTATTTTAAGCACAAATTTGTAAGACTTTGCAGACAAGACTGAAAGACACAAGAATACAAAATTTACAAAATTATTATAATAGAATTTGTAAGATAATAGACACATCAAGATATATGTCATATGTTTACATAATAGAAAGTAAATTATAGAACATTGTTCCTCTATAATTATTAAATTTGCTATCAGACTGGTAAATATAACAAATAATTATTTCTCATATATTTTTCTCTTGCAACATATTATTCTATGAAACAAAATTTTTTAAAATGCTTTCAAGGGTAATTTTGATAACAATCATAATCAGTCATAATAATTAACAATTCTTCTTCTTCTCTAATTGGTCGCAATTGTTACCGCATCCGGAGCTCGCACACAGACCATACACGGCCAAAAATCTTTGTTTACTTCCAATCCTTCCAGTCTTCCATAGAGCTAAACAAAGCTAGGATACGGTCAACGCGATACTACAATGTTTTAAATTTTTGATTGGTCAAATTTGTAAAATTCTTTTTTCTGATTGGTCCATCAAAGCTGGGTTCGGGGAGACGCTATTAGCGCTATTTGTGTCATTCTATCTTCATCGTCCATTAAATGTGAAACAAGGATAGTATGACACAAATAGCGTTGATAGCGCGCTCCTCGAACGCAGCCAAAGGCATTTGTAACGAAACTTTAATCACAGCCATGATCCAATACTTTTGAGTGACACTCGATTGTTCACGTCGCCAATTGGCCAATTCATTAGAGGTTTTTCTGATTGGTGGTCTAATGCAAAAACTTGGAGCACCGGTCGTTGTGAATAGCCAATCATCTTCGACAATAGATTTGTTTACATTACTTAAAATCCCCAAATATATTTAAAATAACAAAAAAAATTTATTCGCGTTGCTTAAAATCTTTAAAAATCTTTATATTTAAAATGAGATAACTATATATCTGGATCTGGACGTTTAAAAGAGAGAAAGCGAAGGTGCTAAGTGCAAAAAGTGCAAGCGACGCGAACAGGAGATTAATTGGTATCTTGAAATGAGATGACAATTACAAAAGTGAAAAAATTTATTAGAATATTAATGATTTTATTGGTCAACACCTGATAAATTCGTTTGTATATTTTTATTTTATAATTTTCACCTCATTTCAAAATACACAATCAACCCTCTCGGAGCAAAGGGAGCAAAGGATGCATTCTCTTCTGTTCGTAGACAAGTCTCGAGTCTCGAGAAGATCATACCCCATGACTGAGTCCAGTAGTCACCGCAGAAAATCCATTATGGTGTCCGTCGTTCAGCAGTTTATTACGGATGTCCGCATTTCGGAATAGAATCACAATCTGACAACCGCGTGGCTAGCGGTAATTATGAAAATTCGATTGAAAGCTCGACGCCGCATGTGAAGACTCTGATGCCACTGTGTCTCGTGCACGATCGACAGCCGTGAAGGGATCAGTGCTTCGAGGATAGAGCGGCCGTGATCCTCCCGTTTGTCCTCTTCTTCGGCGCGGAAAGAGAATTTTGAGAGACAAGAGAAGCAGCGAAAATTGAAAAATGGATATTGACAAGATGAAGGACGGCGTGGAAGTGAGTGACTCGGAGGCGGCTAGCAAAATCAAGGCGAAGAAACGGGACTCGATAGCGGATGTCACCTTAGATATAAAGTCTCGTCTCAGTTTGGAGACGACAGAGGCTTGCGGAGAACCGCATGTCAATGGGGTAGCTCAAGTGAACGGTATCTGCGACTCTCCTCAAAGAACTGCCGCTGTTACCGATCTCTCCCCACAATCTAAAACAATGGAAACTAGTCATTTAAACCAACATGGTATACAATGCCAGCTTATTCGCCATGTGCAGTATAGATACGATAGACACAAACTCCAGTTTATATACCTATAATAATAAAATAGAACAAATCATCATTCATCTAGTCTTGTAAAAGATCCTGTTGATCTTGCGTGATGGAGACTAGTACATTTTTTCTTGCCAATTGAAGATGTCTAGTCAAGTGCTGCTTTAAAAATATTTCTTTTATTCATCTGAAAATTTTTTAATTATGTAAATTATAACTTAAAGTTGAGAGATTTGTGTTTAAAGAAAATCTTGTTTAATTAGAACATTTTTTTGTATTATACAACTGTGTGTACAATCCTAGGAATGGATGAAAACATCTACTTTTTGTTATGTTACAGAACAAGCAGGAACATTATCCATGGAAAGTAAAGACAACGATATCCAATATGTTAGCTATACAAGTGAATTACAAATGCCTGATATTATGAAATTAATACAGAAGGACCTAAGTGAACCATATTCTATTTACACATATAGATATTTTATTCATAATTGGCCGAAATTGTGCTTCCTGGTATGTACTCTCCAGAAAATCTCTATTTTATGTTATCATTCAAGTTATTATTTAAGTTAATGCATGTGTATTGTTTTTGCAATATTAATAACGATGTTGCAGTTTTCTGTATAATTTGTTATTATGGAGCATTTAAAGGCACTGATATTGTTTCGAAAATTTCATCAATTATCAAAGAATTATAAAAAAAATTACTTCAATTCTTTCAGCTCTTAGGTAGAATTTAAACAAAACTGTTCTTTTGTTTATCAAGGCAATGCATGGTGATGAATGTGTTGGTGCCATTGTCTGCAAATTAGACATCCATAGGAAGGTGATAAAGCGTGGTTATATCGCAATGCTGGCTGTCGATGTGAAATATCGGAAACGGAAGATTGGATCAAATCTAGTGAGACAAGCTATCCAAGCAATGGTGGAGGATGATGCTGACGAGGTGGTTCTGGAGACGGAAATTACTAACAGGCCGGCGCTGCGCTTGTATGAAAATCTTGGATTTGTGCGGGATAAACGATTATTTCGATATTACTTAAATGGCGTGGATGCATTACGACTGAAATTATGGCTCAGGTGAAATTCATCCGCGTGCTTATGTCAATAGGTATTTAAATAATTACAATGTTGAAGAGGTGTAACATCTATACTCTACTACATCAGACAAATGGACGACATTAATGTCAAAGAGATTATATGTTTCTACATGCACAAATGTGTTTTCAGTTGCAATATCATGCAATTTATTCTCTGTACTTTCATAAGAGAATTGGCTTATTTAGTTAGGTTATTTAAATAATAGCGTGGATAAACTTTATATTGCAACAAGATTATTTCTGTTTATCTGAAATATCATTTATTTTTAATAAATTTATGTTTATATTGTGAGATAAATACAATGAAATGATGAATCTCCAACAGCCTATTGACAGTACGTCCACTAAGGACGAAGTATATGTACAGAGTAATTTGTTAATAGTGCCTAACTGTTGCCTGACTAGTTAGTTATTTTGTTATGAATTTGCTGCAATTCCTTTGATATTAATGTCAGTGATCGAAATAGATTTCAATTGCAGCTTGAAGATATAAAATGAGTGATAGCAAGAGACAAAAATCGAGACTGTGAAAAGTACTGAAAATAATCAATGTATTTTGCTGGGGCTCACATTGATAAAGACCACATTTTGAAGCATATTTAAGTTTTCATAACTAATCTGAAAAAAATTAGTTTTATGTTACAATTATGAATTCTTGCATGGAAATTGTTTGAAGAATAAACGTATGCATATACTTTGTCACTAATGGGTATAATTAACAATATATGTTTACTATTTATGTAAGGGAGAATGGAGCTAAGTGGTAAACCTTTTTTCCAATTGCAGTTTTCAAATAATAAAATAAACGATTTTAGTTAAATAATTATTAGCGTTTTATAGATTATAAGACTACAAGATGGCAGTAAAAAATTTTAGTGTTTGCAACTTCATTTCATCCATGTACACAAAAAATGTGATTCGAAAAATGAAATCTCAAAAATTACTTTTGACTTTGAAAACACGTTTGACTACCTAAACATAATAACGAGGCATCTAAACTAACCAAATTTCGTTGTTAAAGAAGATACACGAGATGTAATCTACAATATAAATTGAGAACTCATAAGATATATTATTGCCACTCAAAATTCAAAAATGCCAGCTTAGCCCTGGTGCCCACTTAGTAAATATAAACCCGGACTCCCCTATAATAAATTATTAAAAAATATATATTTTAATTATATCCTGAAACTCCTGAAATTTTTAATATTTCCATGTAAAAAACAATTAAAAAGGTTCATATACATATAACCTACTCGGCCTTGTAAGCAGTTTCGCGGTTTGTTAATTTTTCTCATAAACTGAATTTGTACAATTGATTTGACTATTTTTAATAACCTTTAATGTACATAACTGGGTCATTCGTGTCCTGTATTTCTTTTCTTTGAAATACTAGGTACATCAAGAAATTAGTTGTAACATTTATACATAAACATTTTTTTTAATATACACACATCTTTAGAAATATTTTCTAAAGTATATGTAAGAATCATTTAATAGTTTTTGTAAAAGTGACAAAAGCACAGGACACAAATGACTTATCATGTGTACCAACGGTTAATTGATTGCAAACAAGTGAATTGAAAATATATAGTCTGTAACCTAAAAAGAAAAGAATTAAGGTACATAATTTGTAGAATAATGAAATAATATGTGAGATATAATCAACAAAAGGCCGTCAAATATTTATATAAACTTAAAAAAATTGTCTTTCAATGTTTTTAATGGTTTAGTTTATTTTTTTCAGCGTTTTAATGCGGAATGATTATTGCGTTAATCGATCATCTTATGTGAAAGTTGCTACATCACGTATTGTGCGACAAATTGCTGTATCTTAACGCTACGTCAAGCGTACGATTTTGTCAATGTGAACAGAGTGGCAGAAATGAAGAAAAAAAAGATGAGGAAAAAGAAAAGAGGATAAGAAATAAAAGCCGACCGAGGAATTTTAGGAAAAGTATTTCCGTTCAAAATTATAAAGTGATACACGGAAATATTGATAATATATATGTATATATATATATATAAATATATAAATGTATGTCTATATATATTATATATATATATATATATATTACATTAAACGAATATGGACAAAGAAAAAAAAAAAGAAAAAGAAATTATCGTTTACGAAATTGAAATGTTTGAGGGAGTGCGCCTCACGCGGTGAGGAGTGATACGCGCATTACTGTCTACCTATTATATCTATCTTTGTATAAAATAAATGCGAAGCACAGATCATAATGTAACTATTAAAAAAATGTAAAAATGTTAATAAAAATACATAAATGTTTTTACACGCGTCTCGTTTACGTTGTGTTCGTTTGCTTGCTGCAAAACAGTCGTTTTCAGACTACATTTCCATTACATGTTCCAATTGTTTTCATGTGGATATATATATTTTTATTGAAAAACGGATATTTACTGTTAATATTCTAATGTTATCGCAGTGTGATATTTTTTATTTTTTGCAATAGTTTCTTATTCTAAATATG